ACCTTTCACCAGAACGGCCTCTGCCAAAAACAAACAGGGCCAACCTTCTTAAAACTCAGCTGCCAGAGGCAGTGGTGACAGCTACACACACAACCTACATATAAAGATAAGAAGTGGAGGAATAACATGTTCATGTGTAATTTTTAAAAGATACAATATTTTCCTGAAAATCTAAAAGGCCCAGTTTGTTCATAAAGCTGTACAGATGTAAGGGTCTTGTGCGTGTGCACAAGCTGGAGAAGACCTAAGACGGCCCTAAGACTGCCTCTGGCTCCGCACAAGCAGCAAATGCAGGCTAAGGCAAGAGTTACACAGTGCTCCCAGGAGCACTGCGGGCATGCACCATCATTCAGGGATCCTTGGCAAAGACTAGATGTGTTAGTTCTATGCATTAATGAAAATAATTGTATGTGGCCAATAATTTATGCAGACTTCAGTGGCCACACATAAGACACACAGCCTACATAATATACCAAGAACTAATACACAAACAAAAAGCAACAAGACCAAATCCCAGGGAAGAGAAAGGGCAAATACCCAGAGAGTTCATTTAATATATTTTTACACATCCAGTTTTTAATAAAAGAGCTGAAACAAACAATAAATAATGAAGTACCAGTGCATAAGAAACACAGGACAGTGCGTACAGATGGATGCAGAGGGCAGCATCAGAAGAAAGACATACGCCCTGCACTTACTAGACAACGCCATCAAAACTGGCAACCTCAAAATTCTTATAGATACAGTTCATAGAAACTGTATTTTAATAAAAGGGAAAAACCAACTTGATGATAATTCCAGTGGGATAAATTGTAATTGTACTGACAATAAGAAAACAATGAAATGTGGACAGAGTATGACACTAGCCCAGAGCCGTGGCAATCAAGTTACAAAATCCCCCAGACATATTGTTACTCATACTGTAATACTTCAAAAAAGGGATTACATATAAAGTATTTATAATTTTGCCTAGTAAACTTCCCAATGAAAAGCAACATGAGGGGGCACCAAAATGTAAGCAGCAGCCATCTTAGAATAATAGTAGGGATAATTTTCTACCTTAACTAATGACTTCTACAATGAGACAAAGCAATACAACAGTGATTTATGACTGAAATTTAAAAGCTCTCAGCAAACCAGGAGTCAAAGATAACGTCCTCAATCTGATCAAAATGGTAAATAAATGACTACATGCTTTCTTTAATGTAAATTATTAGTAACAAATGTCTCCTGTGACTACTTCTTCAACATAACTAGAAGTCTTAGCCAGTGCAATGAGACAGAAAAATGCAAACAGTCAGGAAAATATGAAATAAAACTGCCTCTATGGGTGGAATACATGAATATGCAGAAAATCCCAAGGAGTCCACAAAAGTCACAAGTACTAATAAGTGAGTTGAACAATACTGTAGGATTCAAGAACATGTAAACATCAACATATATATAGCAATAATTAGAAACGTGTAAGTCCACAGACACCATTTATGATAGCACCAAACGAACAAACATACAAATGTAATGAAAGAGGAATAAGATGTTTATGCTAAAAGCTGAAAAACAGTAGGAGAAACTTTTGTTCTGGGTAAACAGAAGCATCAACTAGCAAATTACAAGACACCTAAGATGCCAGTCACCCCAAAGTGATTTATAACTTAAATGCAGTCCTAACCAAATCCCCACCCTGTTCTGGAGAAGTGTGCCTCTAAGCTGTCTCTAAAAATTACACAAGGAGCTATAACATCTGAAACAATTTGAAAAATAACCAAGCTGGAGAATTCAGCCTTCCTGATTTCAAGACACACTACAAAACTACACTACAGAGTGGTTTGCACCAAAGGAGAGATACATAGAATGATATGGAAAACAGAACAGAATGACCAGAAAGAAACGGAGCCATACATCTACAGTGAAGTGCCTACTCACAATAGTGCTAAAAAATATCTTGCTGAAGGACAGTAAGAATGATTCTCCCAGATGCTGCCAAATGTGTGCATAAGTAAAGGAAAGTGGGCAGAGAAAGGTACAGCCTGTACCTCACATTATAAATAAAAAGTAACAAACAACAGATCCTCAATACAATACTACCGAAAACTACAAAAGATCTAGAGAAAAACAGAAATTCTTTGCAAACTTGGGTCATATGCAAATCATTTAAAAAAGGAAAAAGAACTGATGCAATGGACTTCATCAAAACTGAAGTTTCCCTCACTACTTTCATGTGTCAGGAAAAGGAACAAATGGCAAACTCAAAGAAAACACTTGTGAACAAAAAGTAAGATAAAATAAATAAACAACTGTGAACATATACACAATATATCACATATATACATTATATATGCATATAATTAAGATTTATGTCCAGATTGAACAAAAAATTAATTAGATAATAAAAACTCAATAAAATGACAAAAACTTTGAACAGATGCCTCACAGAAGAACATACGAATAACAAAAAGCAGCAAAGGAAAATGTCTTATATATTAGTTAACTAAAACCTCAAATAAAATCATCTGTGAGAACCAGGTATAGAGGCACACAGCTGCAATCCCAGCTTCAGGAGGTACTGGCACGAGAATCAAGAGTTCAAGACTAGTTTCAGCTACAGAACCAACTAGAGGCCAGATTGAGCTATTTGAGATGAGACCCTGTCTCAAATTTTAAAAAAATGAAAAGCCAATGAGTCCTGCTAAAGCAGGAACCTGATGCACAGCAACGTGGACCATCAATCAAGTGCAGCACACAGCAGCCACCATGGAAAACTGTGTGCTAAAACGTTCACCATGCACCTGCCACCTGGCCCAACATCCCACATCTCAATATTTAACCAAAGGAAATGAAAACTAATGTCTCTTAAGACTTAAATATGAATGTACCTCAAAGTGCATTTTTATAGAAGCTTCATTCCAAAATACAAAACTTAGAAACAACCTAAATGTCTACCAACTACTGTGGCCTACTCACATAAGGAAATACCACTCCCCTTTTTAAAGGAGGCACGATGTGCTGGTTACAGGCACCAAAATGGGTGAGCCAGAAAAGCATTCAGTGAAAGGCCATTGACGCAATGGTTTGCACTGTACCATTCCACTTACACAATTCCAGAAAAGGGAAAAAGGGACAAAGAAAAATCTGTGGCTATCCAGGATGATGCCAACGAGCAAACTGGTAATGTTACATGACCAGGCATTTGTCAGAGTGTGTATATAAAGACACTAGTTTAATTAGTGGAAGGTTTGCCGTAAACTAAAATGTAAAAGAAATGTCGAAAATGTGCCTAACTCCAAGTCAAATAAACCAAGTTACTGGAAACTGGAGTAAGAAAGGAGACACACAGAGAAACCAAACCCCTAAAATGTTACCAAATCTATAAGCAAAAGGTATCATTACTATACTAAGAAATAGATACACATCGATAGAGTGGCCTTTCAAAAGTTTACATTGTACAAGAAACGAGAAAACATAATGGAAATTTATAAGGAACAGGTTGCCAGTGGGAGCTGTGATTGTGAACCTTAGAATTTACTTTTTCCTCCTTTTTCATAAACAGAAACATCTCACACACCTTAATCCATTCCCATTTGGCTGTGTCATTAAGAAAGAGCCCCTTCAAAGTTTTCTTTATTCATAAAAATTCTATATACTTTACAAATCTGACAGTAGCTGGGTGTTCAATATAAAGTGACCCATTGGGCAAATTCTTGTCTGTCCATTCAAGCTTGAGACAAGTTAGTGATCGTCTCTTTTCTCTCTGCCACACACACAGACAAAAGAACAATGTTTCTCTGAATGGTTTTTCAAGCAGTTTCCTTTTTCTGTAAAGTATTAAGATTAAAATTTTTCTTAAAAACTCAAAATTCCTGGGCTAATTACCCATTAAGACGATACATTTTTCCATTTCATAAAAGAGGTACGACTTAACTTTCTCATTTTGTTTTATGTTTATTTCATTTGGATTATGCTGTTGCTAGGCAACCAGTTCACATTTCCCAGCCCACGGAAACGCCTCCTAGCCATCCTGGGGGACACCAAACTTCCTCACCGGGCAATTCTCCACAACTATCGCACTGCACCAAGAAGCAGCAGCAGTACCAGCATCTTCCATGGGCCATTTATCCCAGCAGGTGTGGAACAGACAACCCCAAAGCAACAGAAAGTGTGGCTGAGAGGACCACAAGTGCAAGGCTCTGCAATTCTCATCGGTTGCTGTCACGCCTTTGCAAGCTTTTGCCTTAAATCTTGAGGTGAGATGATTGTTGGCCCACCCAGTAACAAGACGGTAATCCCTCAACTACACAGCATGCAAACGTGTTCCTGAGCCATCCACCGATCCGGGCGGTAAAGATTCGGGGCGGACGCTATGTCCGTGTGTGCACAGTGGACGAAGTCGGAATTCGTGGGGTGGGGGTGGGGCACTGAGGCACCTCGGCTGAGCCCAAAGCCTTCGGGTCCCCAGCGCGCTGAGGGTCAAAAGCACTGCGGCCGCAACAGCCCGGCGCTGCTGGAGAAGCAGAAGACTCGAGTGCAAAGCTTCCTCCGGAGGAAGCGGCCGCGCAGACGCTGCGTCCAATGGGGGATACAGAGGTCCCGCACTCCGCAAGGTGCTTGTCTCGGGTGGGAACCCGAAACGCGAGGTTTGGGTGTGTCACGTGATCGGCTCTCCCGGAGGACTCCCAGTACGCACTCCAGCAGCGCGGTTTCCCAAAAGCTGAGACCGGAAGGGGTGCGCCGCTCGGCGCCGGCGGGAACCGAGGCCGACTCAGCACTTCCGTTCCGCCGGAGCTACAACTGCAGCGCGGCCGGCACGCGAACTTCCCTCTCCACTCGGGACCACGCAGGTGCAGGTCCACACAGGCGAGGGCGGGAGCTGGACGCCTCCCGACCCCAGGTCCCGGGAATCGCCCGGCCCAGGCCTCGGGGCTGGCGGTGTCTCTGCCGTTCCCACCCGGGGAACGCCCCGCATGCGGCCGAGACCTGGACCCTGATGGCGAGCACTCATTTACCTGCTCCCGCCGCCGCCAAAGTGCTCCCCGCGCTCCTGCGCGCCACACCCCGCTCTCAGATTCGAGCACCAGGACACGGGCCAGCACCCCCCTCCAGGTGACTGCGGACCCAGGTATTCAAGTTGGGGCTGCCCACGCACCACCCAGCGTCCAGGACCTCCTCGCCGGAAGTTGATTTCCACCAAGGCCCGCCCAGGCCTGCGCGCGGCGCTCCAGTCACCCTGGGCGCATCACATGACCCCAGGCTGAGACAGGCTGAACCTCATCTGAGGAGAAGAGGGACCTGTGAAATGGACTGGCCTGATTTACACTGCCCTGACTATCCTCAGAAACTGCATCATGCCTTATCTTTTGTCCTGAATGGTTGCTCCATTTAAAACAAAACCATCCACCAAATGTTCCTCCTATCAGGCATTCAGCAGACTAGGCCACGAGAAGAGCCTCCTACTTGGGTGATCCTCAGATAATTGCACTCTGCAATAGATTGGCTTTGGCTTATGCTTTGCCTGGCCTTCCTCAAGAGCTACCTCCTATTTAAAGTTCTCATTCTAACTTAGTGAGAGACCCATACAACCACCTACCAAATCAGAATGTTTCTTCTGTTCAGAACTCGAATCTGCCGTAAGAAGACGCTTCTAATCCCTTCACCACTTACAAGCAACCAAAAATGAAAACTGAATAAAGCACCTGGCTGTATGACAGGCTCATGAAACGTTTGGTGTGACATCTGATCCTAAGGCTTAGCAGAACTCCTAAGTTCCTGGACGTGCCTGTGCCAAAAGCTTATCTAGACTGCTGTGCATTTTGAAAATCTCTGCCTTAGGACTGTAGTTACTGTGCTCTCCAATCTGTCATAGCGGTTCAGCCATACTCTGATAAAGACAGCTGAACCGTGACATCCTTATCTCAGAGCCTTCAGCCAACAGCTTCTGAAGGGAATGCACGCATACTTGATAGATTTTCATTTGAAGGAGAGGGTGGTTGTGTAGAGTGTTGTGCCTGTTATGTGGAAATGGCAACAGGGAGCACACAGATGATTTGGACAACATTCACTTAACCATACTTATTGAATGTATACCATTTACTTGGGACTAGTCAAATGGTAACAGTCCGGGAGTGAACCAGATACATTCAAGATTTTTTACTGTCTAGTACTCTGGGTCTTTGAGAGTGAGTCTCTGGACTGCATCTATTCATCATATAAAGGGCATTCTTAAACATCTTGGGAATTGCTTTTCTCTCGTCCGCTGAACAAAATTGACTAAACTATATATAATCTCTAAACTCAAAGTGGGAAGCATCAACAGGGTCCTGACAAGCCTCCACTGAGCTGGGAAACTTGAAGTCATTAGTGAACAACTGTAATGTCCAGCAGATCAGTATTACAGTGCAGTAATACAGAGCAGATCACCTCTTCTGACCCTTTTTCTATCCCACCCCATTCTTTACACAAACAAGTATATCTCTAATACTGGCATTTGATGCTTTCTTACACATTTTTTTTTTTACTCTCTGTTGAGCAACAAGAAGTCAAGGGCCACCTCTTATTTGTACATCCAGCAAGCTGCTTCCCATTTCTCCTTGTAGATTGGACAGTCTAGTGGTTAGAAAGGGAAAAGCATTCTATAAGCATTTCTTAAACGGTTATCAATACCTCTGTGTCAGCTTGTCTCTTCTCTTTTTGTGCCCGACACTCTAATGACTTTGGCTTTCCATGGAAATATCTATATGCTTACTTTGTCCCACAGAGTAATAATAATAACATCCATAGAGTATTCCACATGCCTATAACATTGGACAAAATAGAATAAAGTTATATTCTCTTAATTTGTACAATGAATCTACAATCTAGGTATATTAATTTAATCACTTCAAATAGGAATACAAACTCAGGAAAGGTAATTTAACATGCTGTAGAGCAAGATGGAAAGCTAAATTTGCCCAACACAATGACCATCCCCTACAGCACACCACTCCACTTTTCAAATCACTGTTTATCAGTTATCAGAATCTCACCTTTGAAATTCCTCATAGTAATCTGTGTATTTTTAACTTTAAATTTTCAATATGCTCACACTTAAGAACTCATCACTGTGATCAACTTTAAAGTATTTTCATAACTTACAAAGGAAACCCCATGCCCTTCAGCTGCCATCCCTTCCTCCATCTCTTCACAACTCACCTCAGCCCTAGGCAACATTAATCCACTTTCTGTCATGTACATGTGCTTCCTCTGGACATGTCTTACACATATGAAGTGTGACCTTTTTGTGCCTGGCTTCTGTCACTTAGCATAGTGTTTCCTGAGTCCACTTAGATGAATAATACTCCTATGGATGGACTTCCAGAAGCTCTGTGTCGACCATTACTTCCTGGACAGATACTGGACATAGACTATAGTGCTGAGTCATATGCTAACTCCACCTTTTAGAAACTCTCATCTTCCTACAGCATTTTATACTCCAGCCAGCAAGAGGAGAGGCCTTTCACCATGCTGTGCCTCACTTCTGGAACCTTGATCTTGATTTCTAAGCATAGTACGTACCTCTTCAATTGGCAATTTTTATGCATGTGTCTGCAGATCCATAGTACGTATAGCTAGTGAGCCGAGGTGAGAAGCATTGTCCCCACCCCCAAGAAGATCAAATGTAGAGAAAGATGCAATCAAAACAGAAATGAGCCTACACCAAATTAGAAGCACTGAGTGCTCCTCTAAGCCTGGCCAACCAGGAGGTGTTGCTCTTTGGATGCTCTTTGGATAGAAAGCTCAAGACAAGCCCCCAAAGAATCAGTAGGAACCAGTTCAGCTAAGAAACAGGAGTGTGTTTCAAACAGGAAGGAAGGGATGGAGGGAGGAGGAGAGGGAGAGAGAGAGAGAGAGAGAGAGAGAGAGAGAGAGAGAGAGAGAGAGACATGGACTTAGTGTTCTCCCTTGCCTGGAGCTGTAGGGTGAATAGGTATTGTGAAAGCTAAGGTGGTGGTGGGGAGGGGCTGTGACAGGTGCAAAACAGCTTCCATTCCAGAAAAAAATAAGACAATTTATTGTGTTCAAATATAAGTGATCATGGTCTGGGAACAGCGATTCAGACTACAACAAAATGATTTGTCCCACCATGAATGAGATGACTATGAATGTGACTTTTTCATAATCACAGGGCCCCAGGAAAAAAGTCACAAATGAATGCACTTTCCAGACTTATTGTTGAGGACATCAGTTAGATGGGTTACAGCTAAGCAGAGAAGTCTCTGCCTATATATCTAAGATGTTATGACTTTCTTAGCCTTTGGATCAGTAAATGTGGGTGTTCTGCTAAGTTAATACATTCCAAAGATCTCACCTGGTAATAAAGGGGGATGTTAGATCAGATGTGAACATAGGTGTAAATGGTACTGCTACTAAGGGGAATAAAGACAGCCCAAGCTCATTCTATTTCTGGGTCTGTAACATTTCACCCCTCCATAATCAAGGACATTTTAATCAGTCAGTCTCCAGAATCCTCAACATAGATATGGCATTGGGGGTAGGGAGTAAAATAGAGGAGGCAAGATAAGAGTTTTTGTAAACTCTACAGAAAGACAGGAGTTTTATTCTGAAGGCAATGGAAAACTTCAGGATTTGTTCATCACCTTTGGGGGAAATATTTCAACACAGGTGTGCAGATGAGGAGAGGTAATAAAGACTAAAATAGAAATCAGCTAGCAGACATGAACTGGATGAGAAAGTATGAACGAGGTGGCCATGAAGGTGATGTTTATTGGAAAATTGTAGGCAGAAAAGTAGGCACAGGGGAGAGGAAGATCGAGAACTGAAGAAGACGGGTCCAGGTTCTGAAGCTGTTTTAAGAGGTTGGGAAATGGAGATACATTTGGAAAGAACAACTATAGAACACTGACCCACCCTGAGTCCCATCTAACAACTGCGACACAGCCCTGGGTGACTTGTAGGTGATATGTTATTTCTCACAGCTCTGAAGGCTGGAAGTCCAAGATCTTGGTGCAAAGCAGATCTGATGTCTGATGAGAGTGCTTTCTGGTTCATAGACAGCCCTTGGCTATGTTCTCACACAATAGAACCCCCTTCTCTCCTGAAACACTGGACACATCCATGAACCAACTATCTCCCAAAGGACCCACCTCCTCACATAGTCACACAGGTAATTAGACTGTAATGTGGATTTGAGAAACACAATCAGAACACAGCAGGGCATTACCAAGTTCTGCTCCTGACAATGGCAGTTGAGGTGTGGCTAAAATTACCCACAGAAATGGCAAGGACCACAACAGAATGTATGTAATATTTCAAGACTTAAGACACCATATGCAAGCTAAGAATATCTGAAAGGGTTTATTACTCATAAGGTTTTGCAAGAAGGTCAGGGGAGATTTCCAAAGTAGATCTAAATATGAGAGTTTGGGAAAGACCTTTAGCGTGTGTGTGTGGGGGGGGGGTTGTTTTGTTTTCACCATGGCATAGAGCTACTGTGAAGATCCACATACAGGGCTGGGCTTATAAGGGCTAAATTTTCTGCTGGCACCAAACCTGGAATACCCAGGCTTGCTTACCACTTTGCCCTCATTAACAGGAACAGTTAACAAGTTAAAAGTATGATTTAAATTTATCAAGAGGTAAACATCAAAAATGTAATCAGCCTGTATATTATGTGTGTGTTACATGTGCACGTTCATAAGGTGGACATGTGTGCATGTGAGTGAGTGTTCACATGCATGTGTGTGCATCTGGAGGCCAGATGTTGATATCAGGTGTCTTCTTCAGTTGCTCTGCACCTTATTTCTTTATGATTCAGGTTCCAGGAGAGCTCATCAGTTTGGATAGGCTGTCTGGCCAATGAGCTCCGGGGATCCGCCGTCTCTGCCTTGCCCCACTGCCAGCACTGGGATGACAGATGTGTATTACCACACTTACCTTCTGTGTGGTAGAGACCTGAGCCCAGGTCCTCAGGCTTGCACAGCAGGCACTCTACCGACTGAGCCAGAAAGGAGCCCCCGGGACCCTGTTACAAGTGTGGCAAGAAACAGTAATTACTTTGCAATGTTTCTGGGTATCTTCTTTTTAGTTGAGGATTTTTATTGTCATTTTGCCCTACCTCTCTACATTTTGTTTTTTATCAGGAGTAGG